ACACACACACACACACTCATTTAACAAAGAGCAGTCTGAAATATAAATCAATAAAAATCTAATGATGACTGATTGGTGTTGTGACCCTTGACCTTTTGTGTGACGTCCCGCTTGTTTTCAATACGTGAAGATTTATTTTGTCTGCCGTCTTTTTCCTCTCTTCCTGCGTTTCATCCTTCATCAATGACTTCTTCATAACTCCATGCTATTAGTGTGACTGTAGGGATGGCAGTGTGGGTGTATCTGTGAGGTCACCCAACTTTGGTCCAGACTGAATATCTCAGATGGATTGCCAGTACATTCAGTGCAGACATTCAACCCCATTAGATCCTATTGACTCTGACCCCCTGACTTTTCATCTCGTACCAACATGAGGGCAACATTTGTGGTTTTGTGTGAAACTCTTCGATGGATTGCCACGAAATTTGCATTTTTGTGTCCATCAAGATGAATTGTATATACTTTGGTGATCTTCTGATTTGTGTCCCATATTGCAAAACTAATAAAAAAAAAAACCATCAACTTCAGCTGTAGTTTGTGTTTAGTGCTCATTAGCAACTAGCAACCTAATGTGCTAAACTACTACTAACTTTCATTAGTTCATGTGTAAACTACCAAACATGACGCCTATTTTTAAACAGCAGGTTTGGGAGGACTTTGACTAAGAAATGCCAGATCTTAATCAGTAATTAAGAGATGACATCATCCTCTCATCTGTTACAGCACAATGTTGGCATGATCATTTTGTTTCCTGGTGAATAATTGGCTTGAGGTAAGTAAACTTGTTCACATTATTCCTAAAAATTAAATTCAGTTTGGCCTTTTTTTTTTCTTTTAAGGAATCAAGAACAAGTAAAGAATGTATATGAAATCTCCTTTTATGTTTATTATCTCTTCAGTAAATTGCTACAAACATACATTTCAGCTGTCATTCAGGATGCTATGCTTCAAAAGGCATAACATTATTGATTACATAGAGATTTACATTCTCACCTGACAGTTTATTAAGTAATCGAGGGATCAGGAACTAAGTTAGAGGGACTGTCAGCCAATGTTATCTCGATGAGAAGGAATCTGACTGAAAGGTACCGGTTAAGGGGCACACCTGCTCTCATGTTACCAACAGACAGAGACTGAAAGGAGTTGCTTTCTTTTTCGCCAGTGTCTGGTTTCTGGTGAATCCCAACAGCCACCAAAGCATATTTTAACTTCTTCCAGTTTTATGACATCAGCAGTTTTTCCTCTACTATTCATTTATCACTGGACTTGTATGACCCATCAGAGGATTTTAGGAGCTTTACCTTTGCTTTGCCTCCATAAGTAGCAAACCCTGCCCGTGTATCACCGAGGTGGGACAAATAAAAGCTTAAGTAGTATTTGATCTGTCAGAGCAGTAAAGTAATGCTCTGAGAGGTATTTTACTATGGTTACAGTGATCTAAGTAAACAACTGGAACAATATACAGTAAATGAAAGCACAGAATTCAAAAGTGAAACCCACCGCTAATAGATCCGCTTGGATGAAACTGACAGTTTAAAAAAAAATCACCTTCCCCTGGTCTCACTGAACTGTCACCTAAAGTCACTTTAATGCTGCTCCTCGAGACCCCAAGTGCTGGGTATTTTCCAGTCTCAGTGTGTTAACCAGCTCTCGACTGGCCCAACACACCTGATTTAGGTAGCTAATCAGACGTGGTGGGATGGAGTTTCACACATCTGTCGGCTTCCTGGATAATGCTCTTGTAATAGACCCTTTTCACTGCAGATGTTTTGTCTCGTCAAAGCAGGAAAAGCACACAACAACATCAATAATGGCTGCATTCCATTTAGATAAGCCAGTACCAGGGCTCTGGTGTTGTGCACGCTCACCGGCTGGCTGACATGGCTTACACCTAATGGAATGGAGCCATCGTTAATGTTATGTTATTAGTCAAAATGTCTGCTTTAAAATCATTTCAGCTTTTCAATAAGTCTTGTTGTGTTTACGTAGGTCATATAGAGGGGTCAGTATTCAATTGGGATTGGGTTTCATAACTGGTTACAAACTCCTTGTAGTGGGTTTAACCATTTTACAATGCAAACGAGGATAAATACCAATACTGTCATGGACAGAATCACAAATACAAAACTTTTATTTAATTACATTTTGGAATGAAGTCCTTCATATGAAAAGCAAAGGATGGTAATGCAGAGGGAGTCCCACACACCAGCTGAACAAGAGTGACACCTTGTGGACAGAAAAGGAACTACACTGGGAAAACAGGCTGAGACACTGGATTAAACGCTCCAAAACACATATTAGTGTTTATAGATTGTTTTTCAGAAATGTTTTGAAGTCTACATGTCCTCATTTTTGACTCTGTGCCAAAACAAGTGAACTGTTGTCCTTTAGATGGAAAAAGAGCAACTACACACAACTGCGGTTGGACTGATAGGAGTTTGTTAACATTAGTGTTTTATTAAAAGTAAGATTTTGACCACTTAAAGTCACCCACCTCTGATACATATATAAAATTTGGAATTAATCAATGACAATGGCTGTTAAAATACAGCTTGTTTATCTTCTCCCTTTTTGATAATTACGTTCTTAGCTGTAAACTGTAATATCTCCAAATTACCCACAAAACTACTGCTGACGTTTCCACCATTTTAAAAACACTGAATATTAGCACACAAAAAAAAAAATCACCTCAGTATCAGCCCACATCGGTCCAATCCTACAAACATCCCACTACCACCTGGATTACGTTGTGAAAGGAAAGAAAGAAAAGAAGAAAACCTTACACATTGTAAACCCTTCTCGTATCGAAACACTCACCACTGCTGATGGAAAAGGGGGAAAACTGTAATATCAACATTATAAACTGACGGTGTTGCAGAATCATCTTGTCGGAAAAAAAGAGTTTATTTGGAGATCTGTTCTTTTCTCAGTGTGTGTTCTTTACCTCTTAGGGTAAATAATTACCAGGTTAAATGAGACTCCAGTTCCCAAGATGCAGTGGTCCCAGGGTTAATCACAGGCCCTGCTGTGACTACAAACCCCAGAGCAAGTCTCTTCTTCCTCCACCAGTTCTGTAATCCATAATTTTCACAGAGGGGACACAGAAACACCCACTGCCGCCATCGTCAATCTCCGCCGTGAGAATGAAAAGTCTGCATGATTTCGAGAAGAAAAGTGTCTCACAGAAAGGAAGGAGGGATTAACAGTCCAGGCTTTTGTTATTTTTGTTTTCATCCCTCTTTTCGTCCTCTCTAATTCTCCCTTTCTCTTCTCTTATGCTTGGTTGATTATTTCTGCAGCTCCTGTGGCGTGCTGAAGGTCTCATAGACGTTGGCCGCAAACTCCTTGACCTGGTCGTTCATCAGCAAGTCCTGAGACAGAGCGACGGAAAGTCAGAGACACTTCCAGAGTTGTAACATACAGACAAGTAAGGACTGATAGTAGTTATTCTGCTTTGGCTGATTCTGGGCTTTAAAATGTGCTTTCATTTTCAAAATTAACTTTAAATTGCCGGACATTTCCTGGTATGTTGCGCTCTATGGATAAGTGAAAATTCAAACTATACAAAGGTGGGAATCCCCCATTAAGTGGTTTGAGGGTTAATTCACACATTAAAATCATTTATTATGACGCAGTTGTAACAATGCCACATGGTGCAACATTTATTATTTGAGCAGTCAGTAGTGCAGGGTATTGTTTAAGTTTGGTTTTTAAGACCAAATTGATAAATTTCCTACAAAACTACTTACTTACTACTAAGACGTAGTGTGGACTTTATTTTCCGATTACTGAGTTGGCACAATATCAGCCAAACACAACAAACAACTGCAGCCTGAGCTGCTTATCTGCTGTCTGAGCGACCAGTAGACCATTAACCTCAGATGTGGATTTAGTTTCAAATCTGGTTGTCCGAGTATTTCACCTTCTTTAAATGCAAACCCACAAATATGAAATATTAACAGCTGAAAGTCGGTGTTCAAATAAATCTTCCTGAAGTTGGGTTTCTCTGCTTCCTGACTGATGTTTGTGATGTTTGTGTGTCTGAACAAAGGAAACAAACAAAGCCTGGTTTCACCTGAACAAAGTGGCTGGGAGTCTCGCTGCAGATGGTGTTGATCTGACCATTGACGATGGGGATGATCTTCGCCAGCGGGAGACTGACTGCAGCAAGACTGAGTACAGACAGACAGACAGACAGACAGACAGACAGACAGACAGACAGACAGAAGTCAGGTGCAGGTTAATGTCAACATGGAGCTGTGCGTCTGCACTTAAAAACAAACAAACTAACTAACTTCCTGCAGCAGTGACCAAATAAATGATATAATTCTTTATAATTAACAGTCATCATTCTAATTAGCAGGGGGAAATAATTTACTGAACAGAATATTAGTGGTTTTTATGACCAAATATACTGTCAAACTGTCAGTCAAGCAGCTGACCTATCGGGTGCAGAGCTGGGGGCGGAGTCACCGGGAGGTGGGCGGAAGAACTCGGCCAGGTTGTCCAGCAGACGAGAGAAACCTCGGTTCAAACAGGCGTTCAGGACGGTGGAGAAGTCTGGACTGGAGTCACAAACGCACACGTCAGAATCCCGAAACACACAAGTCTACAGGCGTACAAACACAGGCGCGGCGTTTACCTGTCCAACATGTCTCTGGTCTCGTTTAACAGTCTGATGGTCACAGCATCGTTTTCTGTCAGCCCACACGCCTGAGCACAAGAGAAGACGGGTTAAACAAGCAGACGCTGTGACGCTGTGAACACAGAGCGTCGTACTGTGTGCGTAGCGACCTGGTCGGCGAGCGCGTTCTCGTCGTCAGCCAGCATGTACCAGGACAGCGGCCGCTCAGAGCCGGACTCCACCTCCGCTCGGATCCAACTCAACTGCTGCTCCAACTCCAGCAGAGACAGGCTCTGCTTCAGAGACATGCTGGAAACCAACAGGGAGATAATCAACAACTGTTTACTTACAAACATTACAACATTTTCTGATTCAAGCCTCCAAACTGTGAGGTTTTTCAGGTTTTCTTTATTTTAAATCATTGTAAATTAAACATCCTGGTTGTTTTGGACTGACTGTGTTGATTTGAAAATGGCACATGAGGCTCTGGGAACTTGTCTGACCCTATTTACGGACATTTTATAGTCTAAACAATTTAAAGATGAACCCAAAAAACAGAATACAACTGAAAATAATCATGAGTTGCAGGCACTCACCCTCCCAGCGAGTTCTGCACTGCTTTCTTCACTACTGTCATCAACTCTGTCAAACCTGGAGACAGACAGACGTGGAGGTATAAAACTCTGACAGACTGACGTAAGCAAGGATGAACAGGGTTAAAGGTGTGTGCGTGTACGTCTCCGTCCTACCGTCTCCCAGTAGATGTTGGATACTGGACAGGTACTGCTGCTGGACGTCTGGGGGGGCCTGAGGAGTCTGAGACAAAAAACAAACAAACACATGAATAACACACACATATGTAAATACTCATATATCTCCTCTTGTGCCGTGCGGTAGGTGTGGTGGCGTGTGGGTCACGTTTGACCTTTCCCCTCACTCCTTCCCTTCAGATCTCTGGGTTAGGGTGTTTGCATAGCTTCTATGTAAATAGCTCGAATTTGTAAATATTTAAATGGCTATTTTTGATCTTCTCCCTCCCCTTGTAGATTTACATTAAATATTCAATGTGCCTGAAGCCAGTTTGTGATTATTTGGCTGAATAATAATAATGTTCAAAGTGAGTGTAGGTACATTTCCCTCGCTGTATACCGATCAGAAACAGGTCTGTATGTGCAGTGATGTACTTATTGATCCAACAACTGTTTTTCTTTTAGTTTTATATCTTGAAGTGAACATCTTTGGGTTTTGGTCTGATGGTCAGAGCAAACAAGACATTTAATGATGATGAAAA